AATTATGTAAGCAGCACATTTTTTTTAGTTTAAGAAAAATTACATGGTAAATCGTATATGGAAACTATTTTGTGTTACCGAGCACTGTTTTTGGAATATTTGTAACAGAACATTTTAGTCGTCTAAAGCTTACAAATGGTAAACTTCTGTGTAGAAAATATTTTTCTACTAAAGTTTTTTGGGTGTTATATGAAAACAAGGTAGTGTTAACAAACATCGTATTTTGAATGCGAATATATTAAACATTTTAAACATTGTAAATTCAAATTTGTAGTTTTTAAATTTTAAAATTCTTCTTAATTTTATTTTATCCACACAAAAAAATATCCCAAGCTCACAGTTAATAATTTGTTGACCCCCAGTGTACCTTCACATATATTTCTTGTTGCCGTTTTCTGTTGTTGTTTTACCGTTGTTTTAGTTATTGTTGTTGCTGTTTTGCATATTTTTTGCAGTGGAAGCTCGAAAACAAAAGGCGGCCGAAAACAAAACAACAAGAGCAACAAAACTCATCAGGCTCATCTTCATTAACTTTGCTTTCTGTCTTTCTGTCCATTTCCCTCCTTATCCCACTGCCTTCCACTGCCCCCGGAACTCCTTCTTCTTCTTTGCAGCCCCCAACCTCCTTTGCCATTTTTCTCAACCCAACTTTCTTGCATTGTCTCTGCAAAATGCGAAAAACAGAAAAAAATACTTTTGTTTACTCTTATGCCAGCGTTGACTTTGCTGTTGTTGTTGCTCAGTCGACGTCGCAGTCGCCGCTGTTTACACAATTCCACAACCGAAGTCCAACAACAACAATAACAATAAAAAGACAGCCCAAAAAACAAGTAAGAATTAATTCTAAGTCCAGACATTTCGATCGAGCGATACCCTAAGCTAGTAAAATTTAAGGAGAAAACAAAAGATGGAAAATTTTTAAAGCGATGATTAGATGCGCCAACCAAAATAAAATATATGAATAATTTTATTTTCTTTTATTATTAATTCAAACCCAGTTAAGACTGTATTGTAAGAAGGAAGATAGGTTTTGCAATTCGATTATCATTTAAAAGCCCTTCGAAGTGGGTGCACTGCCCTTAAAAGTTGACTATGATGTTGAAAGAAAATAGAGACTTTCGTAAATACTATATATTAAAACAATTTTATTAAATACACAAATTATTTAATTATTAATGTATATTTAAGTCCATAAATACCCTCTTTAAAAATACCAATAAAAGATAGTGAAGAAGAAGAAAACTTAGCAGCAAAAGCGACTGAGAAATGCGAAATGGATAATGACCTTCAGTCGCGCTGCTGCCGGCGTCGACATCTCAGTCGGCAGAGTGGCATGGTCGGGGGTGAGGGGTCAAGAAACAACACAACTTAATTTCTGGTAGTCAGGGACATAATACCGCCGCTCTTCTTCCTTTCTCTTTTTGCTATCTCCCCTCATACACAAACATTGTAAACAAGCAAAATTGCTTCCTAGTTGTAAATTCGCACGCAAACATACGCAGATACACTGCAAGAAATTTAGGGGTTTCGGGATTAAATTCACCAAAAAGTGCAGTGCCAAAATATCAGTGTATTTTTTAAAAAATATATATATAATAATTTGGACGAAAAAATATACAAATTCATTATTGAAGCGGTGTGCTTTATTCCTGTCTTTTTTGAAAAATGTCAAAGGTTACCTGCTAAATTGGATTTGATACCTAATGTTTAATAAAAATATATAAAACATATAAAATCTTATTATCCCCATTTATTTCTATGTACAACAGTAAACGGAGCCTGTGCGCCTGCTCTCTCTCATTTTTTCATTCTTCTCTCCCTTTTTCTCTGTAAAAGAGATTTATTTCCCTAACGTGCTCTCGCTCTCCTGTGCAAACAAGTGTTTGTTTGCTGCGCCGTCGTCGACGTCGGCCGTAGCAGTGGCAGAGCAACCCCCACTTCCACCTATCAGCCCCAAAGAACACCCCCCACCCGCTGTCGAACTTTCTTATTTGATTACTCGCAAAAAAGAAAAGAGTTCCGCTCTCAGTCAAATTGTGACAAACGAATTTGTACTAATTAGCATTTCTCATGCGGCCTTCACAGTGGGACGCATCGATTAAAATTTGCTCCGTAAACGATGACTTGCCATTTTATTTGTTGTGGGAGATTAAATACTAATCATTGGATGTAGATCAACATGCTATCTACATATATTATGAGTTATAGTTCGCCAAAGTTGAAAGTAGTCATGATGATGCTTCTGAAATTGATACGAGTTTGATTGTTGATAATATTATAATTTTAAGAACTTTTTAAAAATATAATTATGTTTGTGATCGATTTATGTGCATTTATTAATTAAAAACAAAGACAGATGGATAAAAAAAAACAAGATATTTCTTTAGAATGTTGAAATTTTTGTACATATATCTTATGTACATATATTTGTTACGATCTCTTAAATATAGTTGCGTTCCTTCCATTTAATTCCGTTTTGAATAAAAGTCTATTGATCCACTGTTCCTTAGTGAATTTGTTCTTTATGCATTCCACAGTTCTCGCCAAAAAAGTAATGCGACAACAAAAAGTTACCCAAGAACACAAGACTAACACAGAATGCGCAAAAGAGAGGGCAAGACAATGGCTTAGTGAAAGACAAGTGAAAGAAAAGGAGGTGGCGAAGGAGGGAAAGGAAAGAGCACAGCACGTGAACTGAGAACTTGCGCACGAGAGAAAAGCAACAGCAATAGAAACAAAAGCATTAATACGCCGCCCACGCAGCTACCAAAAACGCAATGCACTTTGACTGCGGCAGAGACCGCGGCAGAGGGAAAAGCAGAAAGCAAGCTTGGCGAAAAACAAAATACCTGGCAAAAAAAATTAGAAGAACAAAATTAATCACATTACAAATTAAACAAAAATTAATATCAATCATAATTAAAGACTTCTAAGCTGAATACAACATTAAAAATTTAAATTAAAGAAGTACAGAAGGTTAAATATTTTAATGCTTATCCAAACAAAATTTACAAATATCAACACAAAATATCGTTTTATTAAAATAAAATATTTACCCAGAAAAGAAAATAAATTCGATTTATGAATAATACCTTTTTCAGTGCACAACTGCAATCCGTTTGTATGCAAAAAAAAATACAAATAAACATGTAGTACAACTACAACTACAACTCAAGGCAAACCATTTAGGCAGCGCTGTGGCAGAGGATGGGCAGCGACGCTGGCAGAAGACGGAAATACCAGGCGAACGATGACGAACGTAAAAACTACGCACCAAGCACAAAAACAAAACACGCCACGAAAAACAAACAAACAAGTAAGGAGAGCAAGTGGGAGAGAGAAAGGAAGAGATGGGAGTGGGAGAGCACCTGCCCCTACTGTACCGCCCACTCGGCTAACGAGCAAACAAAACTAAACAAAAATAAATAGAAACAGAAACACAAGAAAACAGCGAAATAGAAAAGCAGGAAATATTTCGAACTTATCAAACGAGAGAAAAGAGAAGACTTACAGCTTTGCATTTCTATTATTAATTAGTTTCAGCAAAATCCATTTGAGTGGTGTGTACAAAGTATTGACATAAAAGAATGAAATCTACAAAATATTTCAAACTTTTATAGTCGAGAAAAAGAAGTCTAAGCCTTTCTACATTTAAAGAGAGCTTCCATTATTCAATATACTAAGAACAAATCATAATTAAGGATTTTCATTACTCAAAAAGTGTTCCTTGCTTTTGAATTACCTTTTAAATCCGAAATTAACATTTTTTCTTATCTTAAATAAAAATATTATAATTATTATTTTATAATTATTATATTCGGATATGTGTTTCGCGAAATGTGTCAAAATCGCATTCATTTAAGCATTTACATATAAAAATATGCTTGTCTTATTCAAATATGAACGCTTAAATGAACTTTCTTTTGTTTTCTTGTTTTAGAAATTGTACTACGCCGTAGTAGAAATTTCGTTTCATTTTGGCGCGAATCATCTTGAGATAATGTTTTTTTATGGTTACGTTTTTGCTTTTTGTGTCGACCTCGGTTCGTTCAACTCGTTTTTTTCGCTGAACCGCTCCTGTCTACTTGTTTGTTTAATTTTTTGCAATTTCTGCTTCACATTTTATTTGTTTGTTTGACTCGGCTGCGCGCGTGTCGTAGTGTGTGTGCGGCCCAAGAAGCAGTGCCCCTCCCCCTCGCCATTCAACTCTCCTTCTCCCTCCATTCATTCATCCCCCCTTTTGTTGTTGCTGCCGTGTTTCTTTTTTCTCTTTATCAAAACAACTGCGCAGTCGACGTCGAAGTCGCGTCGCAGTCAGCCTTCAAACAGCAGAGGTGACAATAAAAGCACATCTAATATAAAAATTAAATTTTAAATATGTAAGTAAGCATTTTAAATCTTTTAAAAATTCACAATTTGTTTAGATCTTGTCATCCAAAACCTTATTATATATCTTTTAAGAGTACTAATTTTATAGAGTTAAAAAATAAACTTTCTAATAGGATAAAGCTTAATCATAACATTTCTTATGGCAGATTAAGCAATATTTGTATTGGAATGGCTTCAAAATTTCATTGTTCATCTTTTAATCGTGCTGATGCTTTTGATCAAAGATCTTTTTGTCATCTAGGAAAAGTAGACTTGATAAAACCTTAAACTCTTATAGCTATTATTTAGTGACCTCCACCGTATCCCTGCTTGTGTTTTTTTTGGCGCGCACAGCTCTCTCTAAATCTCACTCACTCTCTCCGTCGCCGTGCCGCCCGCTCTCTCTCTGCCCCACCCCCTCGCTCTATTGTTGTTGCTTTAAGCATGACAAAGCACCGTAGAATTTCACAACAGGCCAAAAGAGAACTTCATTACGATGTTCGTTTTGTTTTTCCACGAAACAACTGTTTACTCTGCTCCGGCCGCTGCGCTGCCGTCTGTGCTCATTTCAATTTCTCTGCCGGCGTCGCAGTCGGTGCGCTTACAAATCGATGCCAATAGGTTTGCGACTGTTTGCCGAAACAGACGCCAACAGACGGTGCTCGCGAGCGGTTGTAACGGTAAAGATATAGTACATCTATAGCGCGCGTAACGGGAAAATACGGAGCAGTAGAAGCGCAACAGCGCCTCCGAAATAGCGGTAAATATCGCCAGTGCGTGTGCTTGTGTGTGGGGGAGATGTTTGTTTATGGCAAAGCCTCCTTTTGTTTCTCTCTTTCGGATTGTTTGCCAAATAAATAACAGAAAAGCGATTGACAGACGTTGAAATATTTTATAAATAAGGATATTACAGCTTCAGATTTCTGTGGGCATATCATTGTAAAATAACTCAAAAGTTTTTTTTAAACTGTGTTCCCACGTGAATTGAAAGCCAAAAGTGCGGTTAAAACGATCGAACTGCAAAGTATTTTGAATTAAAGATGTTAAATAAAACCAGAACTCGAAAAGTGATTTAAATTGAATGTATAAATAGAAAAGATATTGTAACATCAAAAAATGAAAAGATAATCGTGTGAAATAAAGACAAATATTGTCTATGCGAACAAATTAAATCGTCGCTAAAATAAAAAATAAATAAAATGTTAATAAGTATTTTACTACCAAGTTATAACCGAAAAATTGGACACAATATTTAAAATTAAATGAAACGAAACCTTAAACGCTTTACAAAGCTTAAATATGATAACTAATAACGCTGAAACTAGGACAACTGATATTTTACCAAAAATGTTTCTCAATCTCCTTTCATAGACAAAAAAATTGTGAGAATTAAAAACAAGTATTCCAATTGATTAAATATTTGGAAACACACTCAGCCTTGAGTAAAACTAAGAAAACAAATATTTATTTTGATTTGATAAAGAAACACACCAATGAGCTAACCAATATTTCACAAAAAGTGTTTTTAAAATTTATTTCAATACCATCCATGCAGCATGTGCGTTCGTGAGTGTTGTGCGAGTGATTGTAAATTGTTTTTTATTTCATTCGCGCGCCTTGAAATTTATTTTTAAGTTTCTGTGCTCAATTTCACTTTGAATGTTGTTTACTTTTTGCGTTGTTTAATTTGTTTCGGCCTGTGGTGTCTCTCCCTCTTCTTCTTTTTCTTTATTCAAAATGACAAAAGGCGAAAACAAACTAAATTGTGGATAACATGGATTTTATGCAAATTCAACGTTTTCTGATTCAGACATGGCAGTGATTTTAAACGAATTCAAAATGGTTGAAGACTGTTTAAAGAAACTGTCAAGTAAAGGATGGGAAAAAAACTGTGCAATCAAAATGCTGAAAATGTTTTAAAAGTCCTAAACTAAGTGCTTACATATATGTGGTACAATAAAAGAAAAACCAAACCACAGACAATTACAAGCAACAGACATAAATTATAAATAAACATCCAATAAAAACTGCCAGCCTAAGCATTTCCGCCATGATTCACATAATAAGACAACAGAAACGGTGACATTTAGAAATTCCTGATAAAGTCCCCATATAGTCGCAATTGTTCTCGGTAATCAAACGACAAATCAATGCTTTGAGACATGCAAATTAATTTAACGCAGAAAAAAAACCCAAAATCTATATACGCAATCAGTAAACAACAAAAGTACAAATGATACAACAAAATAAAATAAAATCGAATTAACCGCAGAATTCCAAGTAAATCCCTCAAAACTGTGCTACTTAAAAATAAAACGAGGCCGCAGACTGAAATGCTGGGGAAAAAACCAAAAAACCTAGCCAAAAACACATTTCAAACATTTTCAATTTCAAAGCAATAACGGAAAATAATTGGAAAATCACCCGAACACAAACAAAGAGCGAAAAAGTGCGTAAAAAAGCAGCGTGGCGTAAAAAACAAGTTCTAAAAATAGACCAAAATGTGTCGCGGCTAAAAATTGACGCAGAGTGTGGCGCAAACAACAAAAGCAAACAACTAAACAAAAAAAAACACAAACAATAAAAACCACATGCAAACTGAACTAAAAACAAATTAAGGTTTTATCACCCCTTCTCTTTCTAACTTAACTTGTGTGTGTCGTGTGTGAGTTTACCGTTATGAATCATCCAGCTGTTTGCGCAGCGTAGCAATCTGCGCAAAAAGAAATACTTCTCGAACTTTTGGTCGGGAGACAAAAACCGATTACTAAACAATTTACTTCATGAAATAATGTGTGCTAAATCATGTGCTAAATCACAAAGACATCTACATATGTAATTTTAGTTACAGTTACTGTCGGTAGCTTAGTTCTTGTTATCAAAAGCCCTAAAGGAGTTTACAGAGATTATCTATCACTAGCACAACCTAAGAATCCGAAACCATTCAAGAAATAACAAACACGTTGTCAGATTTTGGTGTGCAACACATGTTTCGAAGTTTCCATAAAAATTACTAATACGATACGTACGCCAGTTAGATCTCTTAACAATTAATCTTCTTGCCGTTTCTTACCTTGTCGTCTTATTGATCTCGTTTAAATAAGAGTCATTATAGTGAAAAAACTAAAAACATTTTTTGGTTGGAATGCTGTAATAAATTTTAGACCATGGTTAACAGTACGTATGGGTGATAAAATTTAAAGACAGTACGCAGACCATAAAAAGAATTTTTTTCAACATATTTGATATGATTAGGAATACTTCGAAAAGAAAATAACCGTTTAAATTGTTTTTTTTTATTTGATTTTTGATATCATTTACTTAGTACAAGTCCCAAAGCAATAAGATTCATCAATCAACATAAAAAATGTCGATTTCAGAACATTGTTAGAGGGTCTTTTTCGAAAATCTAAATATAGATTTTCCAGAACTCTTGATCATGCCTGTTATATTGTAATCCAGTGCTATTATATTGACCGCTTTTGTGCTTCGTAAATACGTACGACAAGTGCTAAAACGTAGAGCAAATTGCGCTCGTCGCCAAAACCAGGAAGCGAAAATCTACGTTCGACAAAGATTGATGTAAAAGCGAGACGCCGCATAGTATAAACCCCATTTAATGGTATTGGTGCGAGTGAAAGCGCACGTGTCCCTGGGTGCAGATTGTGTGTGTGCAAAATACACTTCCGTCTATTGTGAATGACGAGGCGCGAGCAGTTGCCTTGCCATCTTTGTTATCGTTTGTTGTTGCCTCTGCTTCTGTTTCTGTTGACTTGTGACATTTACACACACGATTACGAAGAAAAAGAAAAATAAAATTACCACTCACGCGTTTTTCTTGGCAGAATTTTCTCCGCTCGCAGAAGCTGCGACATTTTCACTACACACATAAACAATAATATCAATTACAGTCAGTTAAAGTAAAGTTCCGCACTAAAGTGAGCCCAAAATAAATTGGTGGATTAGAAAGTATGGCACTTGTATCTTATCCCAAGCGTTGTATGAACATTTTTTTCTAAAAACAGATATTACAAGATACTTGAACATACATCATTGGAAATCAATTTATTCTTAAGTTCCTTCTATATTTTTTCCAGTGCAGACAAAATCGCACGTCAATATGCTAATGCCAAATAAAATCTGCTTTATCATTTACTACGGACTTTATTCCACTGTATAATGTGTACTATACTAAACTGTGTACTATATATAGTGCCACTGACCTAGGCAGACGATGACGTGTTCTGTAAACTGATTATAAAAAAACTGCTGCGGATTTATAACAGGGAATTTGCTGAATGGAATAAGCTCGTTTTGATTGTTTTCACTGTTTGCCAAGATTACAAATGTCGATCAGTTAAAGTTCAGATAATGGCGATCGTTAGATCGCTAAAAGCAACGCAATATCGGTTTTGGGTTTTTCCCTACACTGAGATTTGGAATTTCCTCGGCTTTTTAGATGACATTTATAAGAATTAGCTACGTCACGGCAACTGGTATTTCATAATTTTGCGTCACATCATGGTTTAGATAAAATTTTGTCTAATCTACCCTTGGAGACGTCCCCGATAAGCTCGAGGTCTGAGTCTATTTTTGTTTGTAGGCACAAGTATTATAATTGTTTTCTTAGGGATTAGAAAATAAAGCTAAATAAGGTTATAGTAAGGCCAAAATTTAGCTTTTAAATTACATTATGAAATACTATAAAATGCTATAGAAATGCCAAGTGTTTTGCTTCACCTTTACTGCGGGGTATTACACTGTAATAATAATGTTCTTTGGAAAACGAAATTAATATGAAGTTAAAATTCAACTAACGATCGATAATTGATCGAAATTACAGTCAACTATTTAATATTTGCCATTTTAATTTTCGAACCCATTACAAAAATCTAATTTAAACGATAGAATGTTAAAATATTTAGTTTAGTTTTCCTTTCGTACAGTAAATTCCTCTCCGCCCTTTCCTTAATGACATTTTATATGTCATTTGAAATTTATCAATTAGATGTCAAATCAAATAAAAATCTCGGCAATTAGCAAGTTGACTGCCACCGGACTTATGACCATAGGTTTGTACAGAGAAGCCTATTTTAGTTGGGTGATGATGATCGGTTTTGGGTCCGAAATTCTGGTTGTTAAGTTTGCTGTGGCCATGCTTAGTTGCTGGACTGAAAATTTCCCATTTCTGATTAACACCTCGGCGCACAAATAAGTTAACAGAGAACCGAATTCGGCCCGAATGAAATGGAATAATAATATAATGACCAATGGCGATCGGTTCGATAGCACGTATTTGGCCGCAAACAGTTCGCTGAAAATGTTTCGAGTGGTGAATGAGTGTGTGAATGACTCATGGTTATCTTTCGACTCAGGGACGGAATGTTTGACGCGCGGGAAAAACCCGGCGATAACGTAAACAAAACGATAAATGCCAGAGGAAAACTTGTTTTTACAGATTAAATTGAATATTACTATTGTAACTAATTGAAAGCTAAAGTTATGTTGCTACTATAAAACAATTTTCCAAAACAAAGTTCGTTTTTAAATCTTAAAAATTATTATAAGATATCTTTTAAAATTTTCAAATCAAATAAACGATCTGATGGCTCCATAAAAGGTGCAAAATTGAAAAATATTTTTTCTAATCCCCTGTTTTCTGTTTTTCTTTTTAGTAAATGAAAAGTAATTCACCAAGTGCTAAATGATAGAGAATGAGACCCAGTCGACAGGACCCAAAAAGACAATGTTGATTGAGTGCATTTCGCGTGACATTCCCTGAGAGTTTTCTTCAGAAACCGAACGAAGCAAAGATCAAGTAAAGCTCGTTGATATAGAGCTGAATATACAACAACCACCCACCGATCGATCGAGAGGCGTGGCAAATGAACTACAATACGGCTAGCGTGGTAGCCGCCGCAGCAGCAGCCGCACATCAGACGTCGCACCACCATCCGTATTTGAACCACCAGCAGTTGCAGCACCACCAAACAACCCAACAACAACAACAACAGCTAATCCCACTGCCCATCGGTGGGGGAGGGAGTTTAGCAGTGGGTGGCGGCGATACCTCGCCCAAAATCATGGAGTGGACCAACGACGATGCTCTTGAACTAATCGAGCAGTATCGCTGCCACACAGAATTATGGAATCGTGCCGATCCGAAGTACAAGGATAAACTATGTCGATTCCGGGCGTGGTCGGAAATAGCCGAACGCTTCGGTTGCAGCAAGGCGGAGGTCGAGCGGAAGATGAACGTATTGCTGACCCAGTATCGGCGGGAGAAGCATAAGATGTTTGTGAAAATATACCAGGGCATTCAGCCCAATCCGTCCAAGTGGTATGCCTTTAAACGATTCGATTTCATGGAGGCGGGCGGCGGCAGCTTAAGCGGCGGTGGATCAGGTGGACCAGGTGTTAACGTCTCGGGCGGTAATCTGGTGCCCAATCCCGTTTCCTCATCGGCAGCCGCTGCCGCCCACAATGGGCTGAACGGACTGGCGGCTGCGGCCGTCGCTGCAGCGGCCTACGAAAGCGGTACGATTGCAGCGGCAGGAAACGGAGGAGCACCAACCACAGGTCCAGGTGGCGGAGCACCTGGTTCGCAGCCCACCATGCAGCACAGACGCATCAAGACCAAAGAGCTAAAATATTTCGGAGCGGTAAGCTATTAAATAAAAAAAACCACTTAATATATAGAACAAATAATACAAAAACAAGTTTTAATTAGCAGGGGAATCGCCCATTAAATATTTTCGGGGATTTTTATACCCTTGCAGAGGGTATTATAATTTCAGTCAAAAGTTTGCAACGCAGTGAAGGAGACATTTCCGACCCTATAAAGTATATATATTCTTGATCAGGATCACCTCCTGAGTTGATATAGCCATGTCCGTCTGTCCGTCTGTCCGTCTGTCCGTCCGTCTGTCCGTCCGTCCGTCCGTTTCTACGCAAACTAGTCCCTCAGTTTTAAAGCTATCTGCTTGAAACTTTCCCAAAAGTTGTCTTTCTATTGCAGGTAGTATATAAGTCGGAACGAGCCGGATCGGGAGACTATATCATATAGCTGCCATATAACTGAACGATCGGAAAAGCCATAACGTTGGTGTTTTTAAAGTTAGGAAGTTGGGATTTTCTATAAGTTTTATGTTTGGCCAATTAATCCGACCTACCAAATTTCTTAAGGATCGGACGACTATATCCTATAGCCGCCATATAACTGATTGATCGGAAATGCCATAACTTTGGTGTTTGTAATGTTAGAAAGTTGGGATTTTCTATGGGTTTTATATTTGGCCAATCAATCCGACCTACCAAATTTCATAAGGATCGGCCGACTATATCCTATAGCTGCCATATAACTGAACGATTGGAAATGCCATAACGTTGGTGTTTGTAAAGTTAGAAAGTTAAGACTTTCTACAGGTTTTATATTTGGCCAATCAATCCGACCTACCAAATTTCATAAGGATCGGCCGACTATATCCTATAGCTGCCATATTACTGAACGATTGGAAATGACATAACTTTGGTGTTTTTAAAGTTAGGAAGTTGGGACATTTTATGAGTATTAAGAATACATCATATGAATAATTTTGAAGAATATAATTTACAGAATATTCTGCAAGGGTATATCAACTTCGGCTCCGTCCGAAGTTAGCTTTCCTTTCTTGTTATTAATGCTTTTCTTGTTAGGTATATTCTTATCAATTAATTTTGTTTAATAAAAATAACCTAAATCATCCAAACAAAATTCATGGTATATTCAAATTAGGTCTACTTGTTCAAAAAACTCATGCATGAATTAGTTTGTCTATTACTATTATTAGAATATTATTCACAAAATCTCGATTCTTAATAATGTTATCAGTTTTCGACAAAATTGTTCGATACCAAAAACAAACAAACGATAAATGTGAAAAATCGGGCAATGACTTTAACATAGATACAGTCATCATATTAATCATCATAAATCGATTGTAGAATTACTTTGCAAGACATGTGAATTTTATATACCTGCCCTAATGATTTCATTTTCATAAGAAAATGTGTTGCATCGAGTAGAAAGAGCCCCCTCTTATCATTCATATTAAAAATCAAAGTCCAATTCAAAAAAATGATGAAAAATTGAACAGAGTTTAAACAGGTTTAACCCTATGGGGTCAACAAATGATAGATTAACAAAAACATTTATTTAATTTGGGCGGTTCAATTTAACCAGAATATGCGCTGAAGTGTATCTACGCGTTATCTTTAAAGTATCACTTGTATAAGTACGTACGAACGTTTTTTTCTTATTTTTGACGAGTTAGGAAAGGGAAATATTTTATTTGTACAAAATTCTAACTGGCATAGATATTGTACGTGTAACGTTTGAAAGCATTGCAGTACGTTTAAAACTGAACATAAATTGTACTTAACGGTTAAATTTAATGTTGTAATGTAACTTAAATTGCTTGCCTATTTACAAATATCTGTCATATGTTTTATAACACAGCACACGTGTGGCCGATTTGTCGGCTTAGCAACAAATATTTTTTTTAATTATAAACAATGTACATTTGTACATACATATTAAATTTATTTTTTGGAAGCTTATCAATTGAAAAATTTTACAAGCAAATAAAATAACCAAAATTTTAAGTGTTAATTTCAATCAAAACAACTGCTTCGGGTTAACTGTGAAATGAGAGTAAGATTGCAAAAGAGAGGGAGATCGCTCCCACTCTCTTAGGAGCTCGAGCAAACATGTGCGCAAGTGACTTGCTGTTTTGCACTGAGAGGCCCCATGGCCCCACTCTCACGATCTCTCTTCCTAGAGTGTGTGTGTGCGCTTGTTTGTGCTCTTTTGTTGTTGACGATCAAAACAGAATTAAAATTTTACGCATAAATTTTTCTTAGAAATACGCAGTGGTGTGTGTGTGAGGCATTGGCCCCAGCTCTCTCCCCCTCCCCCTGTCCCTTTTTCTCGCACTGTCTCTTTGCTTGTTGTTGGTATTTTTGTTGCTTTTATTTGCGTTGTCGCGCCAGGCAAGCAAAGTGTGTAAGAGGAAAGGAGAGGGGTGTATTGGGGGGCCCTGACATTTCGTCGCCGCTCTTCTTCTTTATCGTCTTCTTCGTTTTTTGTTGTTGTTGCTCTGTATGATGAAATGTTTGTTTTGCACGGCGAAATGTGTTGGCGACTGCGACGCGCAGCACTTGCTACGGTGATTTTTTCGGGTTCCATTTTATTCCGTTTGTTATTTAAGATACACTCACTTGAAAGTATCATAATTTGTGTACAATTTTTGTAATGGTTCTGTAGTTTTTGAATTTAAAAGCTTTTTTTAAACCATTTCTCATCTTCACGGTAAGCTTAATTTAGGGTATAAAATGTATAATTATGCATGCAGTTTATTATACCGCCAACAAATTGTTCAATAGAGTTTCAAATACATGTTTTAAAAACAATTAAAAAACATTTTTGACCATTTTTATTTGTGCATTGCTTGTTGGGTCAGTATTACCCATGTCAACAATCGGTTGCTTAAATAATAAAGAATGCGTAACTACCAAACATTATTTATTTTTTGAGTTAACCCAGTATAGCCGTGTTTATTGAATTTTGAGTTCCCTACTTAAACAAAGTTAACAACGACTACGATTTCTTTACCTGCCATGCTTTTTAACCAATTAATGAATCGGACTAAATAGCAACTTTGGGTCTTGAAACTCCGCTCTGGACTGGGTCTTTGTTTTACTGTTGCTGTAGTGACGTTTTGTTTTGTGGTTACCCAGTGGACACCGCACCCTCGAGTTTCCCTCCTTGTCCGTCGTGATTCGCTGGAAGCTTTTGTTTTTACTTTGGCTCTGTTGTTTGTCAGACTTATCAAAACAAAATGCCAGGAGTTGTTGTTGCTGCTCGCCTTCTCTTCTGGCTGTTTTCGCTCGTTTTTTGCTGCTGTTTCTAGAAAACAAATGAAATTTTTGCAAGGAAAAGAATATAAAACTTGGCGCCTGGACTTTTCTGATTTTCTGCTTTTTTTCCAAGTGAGAGGGGGGGCACGGGGAAATCGGGGGCGTGGCTTAGCTAAATACATGCAACTTGTTTGTCCAAGTCATGTCACCTTTGGTTTTCTGGTTTTTGTGGTCCCCATAACGTATTTCGACATTTATGGCTATCAAAATAGTAGCTGGTTACCAGGCAACTTTCTTAGCTCTCGAAAAGGACTTTCAGATTTTAAAATATAGTATTAAGTTTAAGTTCCTAACTTTTTTTTTAAAATTTTGTGTTATTAATTAATTTATTGAGTTGGTTTCTGACGTTTTATTAAAAGCTTATTCTTGTTCTTGTTTTATAAAACCAATGTAATCATTCGTTAATTTTAAATATTATACATACATATCTACATACATACATATGTACATATGTATGTATATTAACTGATAAAATAATTTGTATATGTATGTTTACGGTTTTATAAGATTGGCATTCCATTAATTTGTTGGCTAATAACACAATTTTTAAAATAATAAATTAACAGACTTTCTTCCTTGCATAGGAATTTTATATTTTCTAATTTGTTTCTGCTGGCGTTGTTCTATTATTTTTCTGTGTTTTGGTTTGGCTTTGCTCTCGTATTGTTTTTTTTTGTTTCTACGTCATTATTATTTGCGTGTGCAGGCACTAACAACGACGCCCACGCCCTCTTTTCAGAACGCCCACCGCCCCCTTATTGTTATGTATTTTTGTTCATATTTTGCAATTGTTTTGCTCTGCGGTATTTTCCTCAAGACAAGTGAACAACAAAAAAACAAAAACAAGATGAAGCCGAAGACGAGCTGATGTTTTTGTTGTTGTTTCGGTTGTTGTCCCGCAATGTTGTGGCTAGCAAACGATTCACGCACTGCCTCCCATCCACCACCCACCATTTGCACCATATAACCTGCAGCACCTGCAAAAACTAACCACTTCCATTCACTAAAATGAGTTATCAATTAAATAAAGCTTTTCTTTTAAGAAAACGAGAATTCTTAATTTTTGGGACCAAGAGATATTTATGCAAGTACCGGGAGTACTTTAAGATATAGCTATCATTTCTTAGTAATCAAGCTATATTTAAATGATTTCCTACTATTTAAAGCTAACATGTTATTTCATGTTATAATTTTACAATTTAAAAACATTTTTTTCATGGTCTCTTTGACTTCACTTAATATTTACAAAATTAGTTTTTCGAGTGTACTTTTCTCTTGTTTGTGTTTCCTATTGTTGTTGTAGCTGGAGCGGCAGCAGTAGCGGAGTATCAAGCTGTTGTTGTAACTCGCGTTGTTTTGTTTTCCCTTGCATTGCCTACGAACCACCCATTTCCCACCCCCGCGGTGTCGGAATGAAAAGTGCAAGGCAAATAAGCAGCAACTGCGACGCCGGCAGCGAAGTCAACGTTTGTTTTTGTTTACTCATTCATTGCAAAGTTGTTTAGAGCCAAGCGCGCAGCGTATGTTTTTTTTTTTATTTAGATGATAATGATGATAGTGATGATGATAGGGTATAGGGTTTGGTGTGGTGGGTGGGTCGAAAAATCTAAGAGATATTCGGGGGGGACGAGTGCTTAGAATTCGCTGGAGTTTGCCACCGTCGAAAGTTATGTAAGAATTTGGGAGTTTTGGACGCAGCCGTAAAGTTAAAACGGGTGGGGATGTTTCATGATAGGATGCAGTACAAAATAGCAGATGAAGTTACTAGAAGCTAAAGTTAATTGAAGAAACTTAAATGAAACAATTTTGCAAAATATTTAACATTTTTAGTATTTTAAATAAATAGTAGATCAATAATATGAGAAAGTAAGTCTTAGGAAAGAATGTCAAACTATCTCATATTAAACATTTCACTGAAAAGCATTGCAACTCTAAAAATGTTAGCTGTTCATTTTTGTGGATCTTTAGGTTTAGACATGAAGATATGTATACGACTTAATACATTTTTAAAGAATTCATGTTGAAGGTATTTCTAAGATTTTTGTACTTGGAATAGTATGGAAATTGTTTGCTGGAAAAGGCAAAGCTTTTACTGGATTATCTTGTAAACGAGACACTTGGCAACTCTAGCATTGGCACCTGCCAGGTGACAGCGCCATCTCATACACTAACACACACCTGTACCATACCGCAATGCATTTTCAATTGCAATTTGTTCCACTGTTAATTTTACGACTCCCCGACCAGTGTAAATCCCCCATTTCGAGGAAATAAGGGGGATTGGGGGTTTTGTGTGCGGCGCTTGCGCTTGCGGTTTTCATGGCAGTTTCATTAATGTTAGTGTAGCAGTTACTGTTGTTGTTACTTGCTCCGAACTTGTTGTTGCTGTTGCGGTGTATGCGCTTTTGCGAAAATATCGCCATCGTACTTCAAAAACATTTGCGTGAGCAGGGGATAGATACAGTCAAACTTCATTAATTCAACAGTTCTACACACTTTACTTAAATTGTCTTAGAAAAATTGCCTTTTTTTTAATGATACATTTAATTTTTTAGGTAAAATGAGTGGGACATGTCCTCAAAAATTCTCCTATACTTATCAATTTTTTTTATTATAGGGGTTTATAAGTGCAACTCCCAAAAAAAACAAAAAATTAAATTCTATTTTAATATCTTTATTTTAAATATACGTGAAGAGTTTAAGTTTTGGAAGTTTCCCTGTGCCTGAGAAAAGAGGGAGCTCGCGACAATTGTGAATGGGCAGCGAGCAGAAAGGGGGTTGACGGGGGGAAAGGGGGTGGGGCTTGGGCGGATTTCGTGCCAAAGGAGTAGAAGCAGCGACGACGACGCGTAGTTTGTGTAGTGTGTTATTTATTCATTGGATTGGATGATAATCAGTTTGTTTACATTTTTCAGTTGCACACAAGCCGAGAGAAAGAGAGAGAGCGGAAGAGAGAGTGGGTGGGAGCGAGAGAGAGCGAGTTCATTCTCTTGTCTGTTTTATTTTATTTGCCTTAACAAAATAATAATACAGACATGCAAACACGCACACAGCGCACTTATACACACGCTGCTCTGAATGCGTAAACAACAAAAGCAGCTGCAACAACAATAACAGCATACAAGAAAGGGAGGGCAATAGGCAGGAGCGGTGTGGGAGGGTCAGGTGGGTCGGGGCGCCGTAGTTGGGGAAACTTAAAAACAGAAGCGGGGGCAATCAAAATTAACAAAGCAGGTTGAACTCTAATTCTCAGTATGTTCTAATAAGGAGAATTCAAAATTTTGACATATTTAATATATCTGAATTGTTATAATTCTTTGAGTTGGGAAATAATCAAATTTATTTTTTTGTTAACAAAATATTTTAGAAGATGTCTACATTTTTGTGTTTTGTTTGAAAACTTTATACAATCAATATTAAAAAAAAACCTATATTTATTTTTCAAAAGCCTTAAAAGAGCATTCTAGTTTCGTCTTTTCAAACCTTACCCCTCCACTTCTCTCCTTTCTTTGTCACAGCTTTTTGATGGAAAGTTCTAGACGCCATAACTCAGACAGACAAAAAAGGCGAAATCAAAGAGATCGGCACAGACAGAAAGGGATGGCAATAGCCTTTGGGGAAGAAAGAGAGGGAGCTCTTGCTTTGATCGCCGTTGACCACATTAAACTTTTTATTGTAGTTGTTGTTGACTTATTTTCGTTTGAGGCCCCAAACGTGGGGTAGGTTAATGCTAATGCCGTCGCCTGACCATTAAGCACTCTCTATATATGTATGTATGTAGGTACATATATAACTCTTACTGTCCCGCTCTTCTGGCTCGCGATACTCTCTTGCCAACTAATGCTGACATTTGCAAAAGTTTTCACAAAACACAACAAACAAAATGTGATATTGATATTGTAACGGTGTTGAAATTTTTATTCGATTTAATGCATCTAAAAATGATGTAATACTGATTTCGTTTTGGGATCTACTTAATACAAATTATCCTGGTTGTGTACATATGTATGTACAAAAGTATGTATATATAACTACGTAAACTAAAATATTTCAAAAAAACCCCTTTTTTTGTAGTTCTTTTTTTAAATTTTCATAACTTTGCAAATAAGATTAAATTTAGAAATCCAATACTAAACATTTTTTTTATTTAAAAAAATGCATTCGGAAATACATAAGTATATTTTAAATATGTATCCCTAAGTATCTTGCAAACATCATTAACCCTAGTTGTACTATCTTCTGATTTTCCGATCAAAACACCGTTAATTTCCGCTCTATCTGTCTCTTAATGACTCACCCACACTTTGGAACACTCTTAAAGCGTACTCTTAAAAACGTATTTTTTTCACTCTCTCCCTCTCTCTTGCTTTTTCGCTCGCACGTTGTTCGGCTTTTCGAAAAACTACGAACAAAATTTTCTACGCCGCTAGAATAATTTCGGACCAAAATATTACGAGTTTGAGTCGCGTTGCCGTCGCACACACAAAACAAAAAAAGTCTAGCAACAACAAGTGTAAACACAAGGCACTAAAAAGAAAACCGATCTTTAATAAATACGCTAAGAAAAATGCATTATCACAATGGCAATAATAACATTAATTTGAGGTCCCCAGGGATTACACATAGAATTCCTCCGGAATCAGCCGCGACAGTAAACTCATCAAACGTAAGTCTTAGCAGCAAGTGGGTTAATAAGGGGGTCTTTGGGATGGAGGGTTTGTTTGGAAAGTTCGCGCACTTCGCCACCTGTATGCGTGTTTTGCCTATACCCTATCCGGGGGTATTGTAATTTTTGGTTGGAATTTGGATTACCATTAAAGTGTGTTTATGTTGTTTTGTTTTTTTGTAATAGCTCAGTATAAAACTATCAACAAAATATTCCCGAATCGTCATAAAATGTCCTCAGAACTTTCGGATCGTCAGTAGTTTAAGACTACGAATTAAACTATTTTTGGTTAATATGATTTTATTACTATGTACATTTTAAATCTTCTTAAAATACTACGAGTTTTGTTAAAATCGGTATATTATTATTTCAAATCCATCATAATAAATAATATATTTATATACAACCGACATATTTACTATCACTGCAAGAGCATACGAACTTCAGTTAGCCAGAGTAAACTTTTTTTTTGTTGTTTTGTATTTTTACGCCTGTCTGAGTGCGTGTGTCTGCTAATTTGTTTTGATCGCTTCGTGTGTTTGCCATATAGGAGTATCTAAAAAAAACACGATCTGAACGCAGTCAAATTATTATTTATTTACCATTATTATCATAATTTGGTCAGACTTCGACTTCTCGCTCTTTCGGTTTTAATTTATGTTTCGGATTTACTTAAAGCATTGACAAAAACAACTTTTCGAGGGGGGTTTTGACCGGCGTTGGAATGCGACGGGGAAAAAAAAAACAGAAATTTCTAAATAATTTCAGTTGAATCGGAAACAAGCAATACAAGTGTATGTTTTTGGGAATTCCAATTATTATGGCTATATGCAAATTGCTTTTGACTTCTAACCGTCTAAAACAGCTATGCATACATTTTAAAAGAATTATAAAAATTGGGTTAAAAAAGGCTAAATTTTTTCAAATAATCAATTAATGTGAAATCAAAGAAAATTTAATAAAATATGTTTATAAGCATAATTTGATTTGTTTTTACAAAACAAACACCACCATACGCAAAGTATTGGTCTTTTTAGTTAATATCGAAATATAATTTAATTAATTTAAATGAAATTTGTTGCCAAAAATCATAACCATTTTGTTTAATCAATTATCTCTTATCAAAGAGAAAAGCACTAATTCATCATGACTCTTAAAAAAATGTAACACTTCAACCTAATTAAAGCTAAGTCAACATGTTTCATTAGATTGTTTTCTTATACATAATTCTCTAATGTTTTATAAAGCCCTTCATCAAGACCAGTTAACTCAGTAAATAAAATATTTTCATTACTCTATCTAAATCTCTAATCTAATAACTTCTATTATGATTTCCCAAACAATTAAAACAAGATTATAAATAGAGCTATGTCAACATGATTTTCCTAAACAGTCATCATTACTTATTAGTTTTAAAATCTACTTCCCTTGCTATCTCGAGAATTTATTAGATTCATACTTATGCCACATTTTAGCTCCACTATCGGGTCTTTAACAGACTCCCATTCGATAATAAAGAAGGAGGTAAAGATAAACAAATGTGTAGTTATAGAATAGTAATAAAAACAGACAATAATTTCACCAAAAATGTGTAGTATTTCACCTTTTCAAATTGTGTAGTATTTTAAAAGAAATATTATTGTGAAATATTTTTAATATTTTAAACAATTTAAGTTTAGGTACTAAACTAGTAATTTTGTATATATTTTATTTCTGTAGAATAGTCTTTACAAAACGTTTTGTGATTCGTTTTTTTTATTAGTTCTCAAAAAGTTAGCGACGTTTGTTATCACGATGGTCCAATCTTTTGGACTGCGTCACGATTACGAAGTTAGAAACCTTTGAACACCGCCTGAAAATGCCTTATCTCTAACCTTTTCGTATTCGTTCCGTTTTGTACTTACAGATGGGCCTCAATATACCCATGCTGATAGCGAGCAGTCAGACGCTGGACAGTTGGAATACGGCGGGTCAGTATTCGCCTCCGATATCGGGCTCTGGAGGCGGTGGCTCGGAGCGAGGAGGAAGTGGAGGTGGTGTTGGTGGAGCGCCTGCCCAGCAATTGCGAGTGCCCCTGCCCATGAGTTATCATGGTGGAGCTGGCGGTGGTGGCAGCAGCAGTAGTGATTTCCAGCAGAGTCCACTGAAACCCATGGATACCTCGGATAATGAGGATAACAATAACACCAAGGAGGATGTGGCAGCGGCAGCGGCCCTGGGCCAACTGGCTGCAAAGGTGGAGCGACGCTCGCCGTTGGGCGGTGGTCCGGGGGGAGGTGGCTCGAGTAGTAGGGAGGCCAACGATCCAGCAAGCGATCCCATTAAATCCGACCGGACCCTTAGCGAAGCTGGCAGCAGTCCCATACCGAATACCAATATGCACGAGGCGCACAAAAATCACCTGCTGAACAGTCCTGCCGGAGCAAGAGCGGTTACCCCAAGGCAGGCGCACGAGCAGATGCACCACCATGCACACACGCAGCACCACCTGCAGCAACAGCAACTGCAACAGCAGCAGCAGCAACAACTGCAGCAGCAACTACAACAGCAGCAACAACTGCAACAGCCGCAGCAGCAGTGTCATCATGGCCACGAGGAACTGGACATCAAGCAGGAGTTGGTGGACTATTTCCATGGCCAGGCGGCTGGTGGTGGTGGTGTTGGTCCTGCACCACCGCCACCACCCGAATCACATCGTTCCTATAGCTCAGCGGGTGAGGAGAGCCGACTTCAGCTGGTGGACATGGCCCAGGATTTGCGAGTTGCCCAGGCGAAGGCCAATTTTGGAGCTTTTGTCCTACCACCAAGAGGCAGCGATGCCAGCACACCCGCCATGCCTTTAAATATGCGAAAACTAACCGGTGCCGGCAGTGCGGGTCATATGCTAATGAATACATTGCTCGGTTCGAGGGAGAGTATGTCGGATGGCGAGGAACCCGATCCGGATAACGATGAGGCCACCGAATCGGCCGCCAGTCCGGGACACATCAAGAGCAGTGTTTCCGCCCAGGCGGCCGTTGCAGGATCCGCATTTTACGCAGAGTCCCTAAATCGAGATGATTGCGATTTTATTGGATCGAATGTATCATTAAAACTTCGAACCATGGATCGAACGCAAAGGATCATTGCGGAGAAGCTAATCAGCGAGGTGTTGTACTATGGGCAATTTAATGAGCTGGAACGCTCGGCCAGGATTCAGCCCAAGTGACAGTGGCGCCCCAAGAAGTGGACGACGACAATGGGAAACGGAAGTGGTGGGGCCGTGGGTCTGGGCATCGGAGTGGGTTTGAGCAGGATCAGGCTGGGCAGGAGCCTACTCGCCCCGCAGCATGGTAAATGAATTCCAATTGAAATAGTCAACAGAGAGATAAAACAGAAACCAATACAGAAAACAGTACAACTTATTTTTAGTTTGGCCAGGATCGGGGTCACCACTTGTACAAAGCTTGGCAGAAAAGGGGGCAGCGTTACTTAGGCGGAGTGAAAGTAGAAAATATAGAAAAGAAAGCAGAGTAGGGCTTGGATAAAGGTACTTATATGACAGGGGTAGAGATGGTGATGTCTGGGATGGTTGTTAAGTTTAAAATGTGTTTATTCACGGATAGGAGAACTGTTTACTAAATTCTCAAAACCTACTTAATGAAGGTTACTGCGGAAATTCAAAACAAAAATTTATTTAAATTTTTTTAACTTTTAAACTTGGAATATGTCAAACGAATTTTTAAAATAAACGAAATCTATTTCGGTTGTTCCACTGTGCAATGTTTAGATAATACAAATAATGTTGAGTTAGTCAAATTTGGTTTAACAATTAAAATACAAAATAAATCCTAGAGATGGAAAAGAATAGATTTAACGAAATAAAACCATTTTTTATTTACTATTTTTTATTATGAAATAACTAATTTTATAAACCGAAATGTGGTTCATCTACCATCTCTCCCTGATTAAAATACAAAAGCAACATAGAACACAAACCAAAGTTACTTTCTATTCTGTTCGAAGGGCTGCATAAACAACAGTTTAGCTTTTGTCCACAACTTCAATATTAAACTGCATAAAATACATAGATACTAGATAGGTTAGATTGGGTCTGGGAATGGGGTCATCGACACACCTGAGACATCTAACTAGCAGAATCTCAGTATTACTTATAAAATACACTTTACATAGACCATAGTTAACCGCAACAACGAGGATAGGAATCGAAGCATTTGCCATAGATCGATTCCTTGGGGCCGATCGTCCACTTCTGGGTGTTATCTGGTTGCTGATTGTTGACCTCGCCCTAAAAAACAAATATACAAAAATTAATGGGAGAAAAGTAAGCAAAACTAATGTAAAGACAAGGAATAGCGGCTGCTTAAAAGTCAAGCTCCAATTTGGGCACCACTGAAACTCAAGTTCCCGATTAGCTAACCGTTGAAAAAGGCACTTGTAAAACCTATATGTTTTCTATATATCTGCATATGGATATATGTATAAGTAAATGGATAAAAATATATAATATATCATTGTACCTTATTTTAAAACAGAGATGTTTTCTTAGTCACTTAAGTCTGGTCGCCGTAAAGTCACCAATCCAAAACCCAACAACTGAAACCAACCAACAAACAAAAAGAAACCGCAAACTTTTACCTATATTATACAAATATTGTCGTCACTAGTTCGTTAAAGAAACAACAAAAACAAAAGCAAAACATTGTACATTTTCGTGTTTATTTTTTTAGGTCATAATGATTTTTGCATAATATTTAAGTAGTTTTTATTTTTATATGCAAAGCAAAGCAGAGCAAAAAACAGAAACATTGAATTAATTTATATAAATATATATGTATACCTAATAAACAAATATGGGCAAATTAGATAGTCACATAAACGAGAGAAAGAGATAGATGGTTAGTTGCGGATGATGATGATGATGAAATGCAGCTCGGCTTTTGCTGCTGCGTTTTTAAGCCGTAGTTTTTACCTTAGCATAGAAAAATCAAAAACCAACAAAAGTCCAAACTGAAAAGAAAAGTCATGTGTAAAAAATGGAAAATTAGATGTGAATAAATTAATTGTCTGTAAAACTAGCGAGAATTTGTTTGGCATCGATGTGCAAGCGTATGTTGTGTGAGTGCGTATGGAAAGTAAACAAAAATTAGGTTTTCCTGAATGTGTAAACAGCAGCTAAAAAAATAAATAAATGTGTGTACCTATTTGTCTGACAAGCATTGTAAACGCCGTTTTTTTTTCTACTTTGTTAAATGAAAAAAATGGGTTAATCTTATGATTGGGATATTGCTTTAAATGAAAGCCGAATCGAAAATATATAGTTCTTTTTCTATTTTAACGGTTTAAATGGTTTTTAAAGCAAAGTTTAGCGGGAGTATCAGGAACCCATTATTTAAAAAATAAACTAAACACATCTTTTAAACATATATAAAAGGGGAATAAAGGATTGTTTCTATCAGTTTTTAGTGTAATTTTGCGAAATAAAATTATATTTATTTAAAATGTCGATTTATTTTTCATTTAAATAATTTTAAAAGAGCGCCAAAGCAGGCAACCAGTAAGAAGTTCCTAAAACTTCCACTAGATGGCGATTTTTAAAGTCTAAACAAAGTTTACATGGGTTACATGGACTAAAATGTAACTTATGTTAAGACCAATTTTGAAAGCACTAATAATGGTGTCTGAAAGTATGCTATCATATATTACAATTTCAATAATGATGAAAAACTCTATTGCATTTTGTATACGTTAATAAGGAAGTTTAATTTAAAATTATTTATAATGTAAAATTCAGATGGTGTATAACTTCGCTGAACAATTATAGTGTTGGAAAACTGCAGCAGGAATCGGTGGTTTTGTTTATTTCCAATTGATTTTCTTGAGCGCAAGTTCAGAACTCCCGACTTTTCTTAACTTTACAACCGAAAAGCACGGACTCTGTAAATTAAATATACAAATCAATTTAATTATAAATTCGCTAATAAAAAAATAATATAAGGGATATTGTAAAATACAAATGCAAAATATGTAATATTTTTCTTTACAAGTAAAAGAAATAATTAAAAAAATATTAAATAATATTAATAAAAATGTAAAAAAGAAGTAAATAAATTGATCGATTTGAATTGATTTACGGATTTCTAATTTTGTATGCCTTTATTAAAGTTATCTTATTCTATTACATGTAGTAATCAACAACTGGTTAAATATATTTTTACTATTCTTGCGCGCCTGCGCGAGAAAACTTATTTCGAAATTGATAGATATTTTTGTGGCACCCCCACCCACTCTCAATTGTTTCCCTAATGAACTAAGGCCTATGATCCATCCTTCCCAAATACTAAGACCATGCATCATTTTCTATTTTTACTTAATGTTTTCATGATTTACATATAATCTTCATCGTATAATTACACAAAATAATAATTAAGTCGGATACGTTATTCCTTTTTGATTGATTTCTTGTGTTTTTTATGTTGCATATTTTTTTGTTTGTTTTGTAACTTAGAAACGAAACTTAAGTGTCTGGCTTAATGAGTAAAAATAAAATTGGTTATACAATAAGGCTACGCTTTCATTAATCATTAAATAATCAGTTACTCCTCAATAATCTTCTGAGTGAACGCGCGCAGGCGCAGAACTCGCAAGGCCGACGGATCCAACAACAACTGGATATAGCAACTTGACACATGCATACATATTTTTGTTTTACATATTTTTCATGATTTATTTTTCTTGATTTAATGCCGCCGAAGTGATTTAAAAAAACAACATTTAAAATGTAAGAGTATATACTAGAAATTTGTTGTTGTTTGATTTGCATAGATTTCATAGTATTTTGCTCGTCTTATTCATTAAAACTGAGCAAACTATCTTATTGTTTGTAGGAAACAAATGCAAAATGATTTTAAATTTGTGCGCTGCTGTGTTGAAGGTCGCGTTGGCTTCCGATGAGGCAGAAAATGGGAGGAGAGGATGGTCTTCTCTGTGGCGAAGAACAAACGCTGGTATCTTAGAACTCAAAGTTGAACGAGTTATTACGGCCGCCGCCGCCTCCGTTAAATTGGAAGAATGAGCGGAACATTTGATTTGGATCGAAGTCGGCTAAAAAATTAATAAAATCATTAAGTATTTAATTTTCATATCTGTAATCCCATTCAAGCCTCACCTTGCTCTTGCTCTTCGATGTCCTGGCCGCTGTCGTAGCGGGATTTTTTGCGCGCATCCGACAGAATGGCGTACGCCTCGCCCACCTCCTTGAACTTGAGCTCCTCCTCCTTGCGCTCCTCGGCACTGCTGTTGGCATGTCGATCGGGATGGTGGACCAGCGCCTTTTTACGGTACGCCTTCTTGATCTCATCATCGGTGGCACTGCGTCCGATGCCCAGAATCTTGTAGTAGTCCTTTCGCTTCGACTTCTTCAGCGCAAACTTGGCTTCGCGGAGCAGTCGCTTGATCTCGGGAGTCTTCTCCAGCTGCAGCGCCGTCTCGTAATCGGCCACAGACTCCTCGAATTTCTCCAGATCGTTATAGCAGCGGGCGCGCAACAGCAGGGCCTTCAGATACTGGTTATTGAGTTCCAGCACCTTATTGCAATCTACTACAGCCTCGCGCAAATTTCCGATGCGTGTATTGACCAATGCCCGATTGTAAAGCAGTTTCGAATTGATATCCTTATTGTGCTCGTCGATCTTCAAAGCGTCCGTATATATAACGTGAGCTTCGCGATAGCGACCCGATTTGAACAGCATGTTTCCGTTCTCCTTCATCTCCTTGAGCTGTTTGCATTTGCTGCGCATCTGCTTGGACTTGTAGTGGTCCGGGTCAAGGGTCAGGGCGCGCTCAAAGTGCAGTATGCCCTTGTCCAGGTTATCGGTGTAATAGAGGCACAGTCCCCTCACGTAAATCGCATCCGCCGACGTGGTATCCAGCTTCATCACTCCCACGGCAATGTCCAAGGCCTCATCACAGCGTCCCAAAAAGGCAAGGCACTCAGCCTTGAGAAGGCGATATCTGGAAGAAGGACAGTTTGGGATTAATTTCTCACATAATAGCAATATACTTATGCTTAAAAAAGATATAACTTTGATAATTTGAATTTCCATTTAAATGAAAAACAAAAACCAATACCTATAAAATGAGTTTATTAAATTATAAAACAATTTACTTTAAAAAACTGTAACATTTTAAATAGTGTAAAGCAAATTGGGATTGTTTGTTTAACAGTGGTTAAATATTTTATTACCCTGCAATATTATGTTATTTGCGTTAATAGACAAAGACTTTTAGTTGTACAATTTCTAACAAATTTTTAAAATTGGTTTTTGCGGTAAAGCTGCATCTTTAAAATCCCGCAAAACATTCCAAAATTAACTAATATATTCGTAGTTAAACCAAGAAATAATTTCCGGTATTTCACTAATCTGAAATTCTGTGAAGTTTACTGTGGCGAGTCACTTACCTCAAGCAGGCGGGAGCCAATTTCAAGGCAATGTCCAGGTAGAAGACCACATTGCGGTAGGCCTTTGTGTCGTAGTTCGTCTGGATGGTTGTCTCCAGTTGGCGCAACTTCAGTGCCGCCGCCTGTTCGCCACTCGCAGCCGTGCTCTGCGAATTCAGCTCGGCAACCATTTTGACGGCCTGTTCGGTTCCAATGATGTCGCCCAGGGCCAGACAGCACTTGGCCACCCGGACGTAGGCCTTCTCGAAACCAGGATCGATGCGGATGGCATGGCGGGCATCGGCCAGGGCGCTATTATAGTTGAGCAGCATCATGTAGCAGGCGGCACGATTTCCATAGTACGCCGCCGAGTCCGGACACAACGATATGGCATCCGTGTAGAGCTTGAGTGCATTCTGATAGTTCTGCGCCTTGTATTGGTCGTTGCCCAGTTTCTTCTTCTCTTCGGCAATGCTGCAAGTACAGAAAAGGGGAAAACAATTTTCTTGGTCAATCCTTGGGGGCTCAGCTCACTGCACAAAAGAATCGGTCCTTTACATAGTCAACATAATTTGAATTTTTAATTTCATGTCGTCAGTCGAGGCGAAGTAACTGCCGCGGGGCAAGTCGCCGTCTGCTCAAGAAGAAATATACAAAACGGGCAGTACAAACTGGCACAACGAAAAGCAACAGGAAGTAATCCGCTTGCTGTGGCCCAGACGTCTTTTCCAAATGCACAGTGACACGAGAAACGTGACAAATGTAATGCACTTCCAATCGCATTTAATGTTTCTTTAAAACAATTTAGTAAAGTTGTCCATGTAATGGTTTATGTGCAATAAAAGTCAGTTAATAGTTGCATTACATTAATCTAAAGTATCTTTTAATGACCGATAAAAAAGTTCACGCAATTTATTTCTTTTTCGGTTAAAAATTTCATTTTTAATGAACATAAATTACAACTGTTAACCTTTGCTGGCAGTTGTTAATAGCAAATAGGAATAAAAATCAATAAAACATTAATCACGACAAAGGTTATCCAACATTATTTTGGAAGATATGAGTTTTGCCATTTTTTAAAAGCCAAATGCTCTTCCTGAATTAATAATGCACCTCGTTAGAAGCATCCGCTGTGGCCGATCAATTTGTACTCCTCTTTATCCGCTTCTGTGCCATTTTTAGCACACTTTTCCATTTGAAGGAAGTGCAACAACCTGCGCCCAGCTCAAATGGGCCAAGAAATTATGGCATCACAATGGACGCCAATAGGGCGACACTAATGCGGGCGCCAAAGAATCCCGAAAGCCAAAGAAATTCCCTATTTCCACAACCCCACCCCCAACCCACTTGGAGTTGTGCCAGGCAGGGTGTTTACTGTACCGAGCATTGTCGACAGTATTACACAGAGCATAAGTGCTTTATGCTTGGCTCGTTGTTGTTATTCTCGATTTTCACTCCGGCTGTTTGTTATTTATTTGCTTCTGGTTTCGGTTTCCTTTTGCCTATTTACTTTTTCTTCTGTGTGCCATTAAAAATACATAGAGATATTAAAAAAATTGAGGGGTTTCGTACCTTTTATCAAGCACCTTAATCAATGCATTTCTCAAATTTCAACTTGATTGAAGACTAGTAAAAGGAAAGTTTTGTACAAATATTTCATTTTAATTTCGTTGATATTTTCTAAACCATTTTATTCGCTCAACGCAAGGTTTTATTGAAATTTAAAAAGGTTTTATTTATCCAACAAGATTGATCATAATATAAAAAGAATTAAAGGTTATTTTTTTGGTCTTCTACTATCTTCATTTTCTATAAACTTCAAGTAATTTAACAACAAATTGCAGCAAGTATTTGATAATATTCCTTAACCAGCCTACACATTTTTTTCCCTACTCCATTTTAATTGCAGCTTGTAAAACGATGATTATAGAAAATGTGTGAGAATAGCATGCGAATAAGATACGGCGGGCAAACAAAAGATGTTAATTACTACTAAAAAGAATAATTTGCATTGCCTACATTTTTTTTCTTGTCTCTCCAGCAGACAAATAGAGAAAGGGCGGCAAGTGGGTGGTTGGTAGGTTTGGCTTTTTTTCAAGTGCTCAGCACAAAACTTTTAATTGCTGCCATAACTTGCCAAAGCGGTCGCGGCCTGAACCACAAATGGGGCCAAAATGGGGGTTTCGGATATCTTGGAGGGAGCGCGATTGGGGCGGCAGCACTCCAGTCAACAGCAGCAGTTTGCATAACAATTAGAGAAACCCATAAAAGTCAAAAATTCGCTCGCGCTTGATTGGGCAACATTTTAGAAAGCCATTTGTTAGGGCCTTCCCTTCAACATTTTCCCACCCTAAAAAGTAGGCAACGCGGTTTGCATTTGCAATTCAACTTCAATAAAAAAAGGAGACGTGGTAGCATCAACAGACATTTGCTAGCAAAAAATGAAAAAAAAAAAACTAAAGAGCTGATTTAAATTAAGTAGTGGGGAAAGGTGGAGAAATGGCTGGCACGCCCAAAAACATGAAAGCCCGGGCTAGATAAATAAAGCACAAAGGGGAACCGCCGCTACCTGAATGGCAGGAAAAACAGGTAACAAAAAATGGTAAACGGAAAGCGAAAAAAAGAACCGACAAACTGAAAGCAAAAGAATGAATGCAAAGCATGCAATGCAAATTTAAGCATGTATAGATTACATTTGCGGTCAGAATGATAGCCCTACAAATCAAAGCTTTCCAGAGGGAATTAGCTTTGTTATAAAATTTATTATTATTGGTTTGAGTATATATATTTCAAAAAAGTCCTTTTATGTTCCAATTATTTATAATGATTCTGCGCTAACAAAGTGATGGCGTTTTAAAAAACCTACCTATTAACAAAGGATAACCAAAAGTAATAATAAAATTGGCACAGTAGCGCAATTTGAAAAACTGAAAGAAAGTAATGTTAGATTTCTGCAAATGCTAAGCTTTTTAGCTTGAGAAAGTGTAGTTATTAATGTTAAGTACAAAGTAATCCATAAAAGGGCAGTAAACCCATTTAAGATATAATCACCTTCATTATTATTTTTTATGGCCCCTCTTTGAACTAAATTTGTGATCCCCACTGTGCGAACGTGTTGGTCTGCATATGCGATGCCTTTAGGTCAAAGCAAAGTTCAATGCGCGATAAGCGAAGTCAATGGTAGAAGAACATTCGAGGAATGTTATGTGCGAGTGGAATGGCGCTGGGATAGTGTGAGTTGTTCGGAATAATCATTCCCTCATGAATATGCATAGCTCGTCGGGGTGAATGAAGGGGGCTTGTGATGACAAAACTTTTCGCACAGCCAACGAAGGAAACTTGGACGCCGTGTGACATGTGCTGCAAGAATCATGCAAAGTAGATTGTCGGGGTGTCAAATCTATCAGTTAACTGAAGCGATAGCTGGAGACGCACAATTGGTACAGTGGGATCACTTGAGGTTGGAAAGTTTTCCACTCTTGTTGATTACTTTTCCAAACATTTACTTAAGTTTTATCTTGTGCCAAATTTGACCCCTTCAAATTCTTGAATAAATAACTATTTTTCGGAAATGCTTTTGGTTCTTACTATTTTGACTTTTAAAGTCAATGATAAGTTCAACTGATTAAGGATTCATTTTAAATATCAAACGAAGGACAAGAAGTTTTTTACCTAATTTCAGGAGGTTTCTTTACCAACACACCAATAAAAAGGATACATTGTTCTGAAGAATCTTTTTCATAAAATTTACTACAGTTGAAATAAATCTTCACTTGCAAACCACAAAAAATAAACTTCAGTATACAACATTTCTCCTTTCGTAATTTCCGCACAAAGTTTTCCGCCATATATCAAACTTCCCAGAGCACTGCCATTTGCATGCCATTAGCATCCTGTCATATCAATTTGGCTTTGACAACCGAGCAGCAACAGACAAACAAAAAAAACCAAACTCTCATTTCATCCGGCATTTCTACTTACCGCGGCAGAAATGTAAATTCCTCCGAACTCATATACAATTTATTGAGCATTGGATAGAGCGGAGGATTCAGACTTTTAGGGTTATTACTTTTCGGCATATGAAAACCGATGGATTTTAAACACCAACCATTAAGTGTCCAGTCAAGTGGCTGTATTTATTGTTATGATTTTTACACACTACTAACGCAAAAAGCTACAAAAATAATTGGCTATCAAAAGACTATTTTAGCGAACACTTTGTTATTGCTGGTGGTCTCTGGGAGCCAACGGAAGCGACTGATGTTGATGCTGCTGGTGGTGTTGCCGCTGTGACGCTGATGTTGCTGCCGTGCTGCCTGCATGTTGCAGCTGCTGCTGCTGGCGATGATTTTAATGCAATGGCACGTCGAGGAGCTTGAAACCGAGAACCAAACGTTACGAAGGCAAAAATACGACCATGTTGCCGGCGTTGTAATAACAGTAATGATATTTTTCAAATTTTTTTTGAAATATCTCTTTTGCACATCGAATATTAATTAATATATTTTTAAAATTTTGTAAGATTTGGTTTTGTGTTTGTAGTTTAAAAATCCTTTCTTACTCGCTATTTCAAATAATTTTTGTGATTATTCGTAGAAAATGCCAAATATTTGATGTAAAATATTATTTTTATTTTGAATATTAGTAGTAATTTCTCCGAAACGAATTTGCTTTTTTGCAAGCACTGTGCCTGCAGCGAGAGAGACGAATTCAAGAGAGAGTACAGAGAAAGCATTGCATTGTGCAGAGCGCATGTGAGAGAGTAAAGAGCGGTGAAATGAGGTGGGTGGCCTCTCTGCAGGTGGCTTTAACGATACGCCAGACAATGCCACTCGCCATTACACAGCCATTTGTTGGTCAATAAGAATAGGACAAAAACTAAAAAAAAAAATTGTATCGCAAAGAGCAAATACCCTAATTTAATTTATTTTATTATATTTTAGGTTTGTGAGAGGTTTTAAGAAATAATATAAAGCTAATAAAGTACAACTTGTTAGCTTAAATTAAAAAAAAGGTTTTTTAGTTATTGTAGCCCACATTTATACCTAATTTTTGTTTTTCACTGTTAAATGATTAATAAGTATGGTTTTTATGCTTTGTTAAACAGTTACTAATCAAAGATTTGCGGCACCCATTTAAACAAAGCCATTTCTTAGAAATTTAGGGCCTTTGGTATTGAATATTTTCAATAAATGTACATATAAAATAAATTATAGTTATTTTAAATCAATTTCAAAACTTCAGGAAACGTAGAATAAAAAAATGGCAGACATCTGCATCTGATATCCTTCGACCAAAAGTCAATATTTTACAACATCCTCCACTCTGAACCCCGTACAAATTCCACTTCAGTTAACGCAGCGCAGTCAACAAACCCTTTGCGAAAGCGCATATCAAATAGTTTACCCGTTTACCCATCACAACTAGCTTTGGGAGGAGCAAAGGCAGTGGGCGGAGAAGCGGGCAGCGGACAT